ATAGCAATATCTAGAGTATAAATATCTTCTAGACTATATGATGATATGAAGACTAAAAAGTGCCCACCCAGGATATCTGCCAGCCCATCCTTCTATAGCAGTCAAGAACCGGGCCTGATCTGCAAGCTTTTTGAGCGAGGAATGGGCTAAGATTTCAGTTAAGAATCAAAGATTCTCTACAAAATGTAAGCTTTGGGGTTTGAATTACTTAAGATTGCGACTATATGAACAGAATCAAGCCATCCAATAACTCTGATTTTCTTTTAATGCTCTTATAATATTTTTTTAATCTATTATACGTTTCAATTTGTTAGACACTAAAAAATTATTTGTAATATCTTTAGCGGGGTCACCCAATTAAGGTTTTAGTTTTCCTTCTTTGAGGTTTACTGTATTCTGAAAAGACCATGATCATGAAAAATATTTTTGGAGATCATGTGAATATAAAGGGAAATGAATGCTTTCGCTGACTCGCTCAAGTGTTGGTTTGCAACTCGACAGCAAGTAGTTGTGGTTGAGATGCCAATGTCACTCGGGGGCTGAGGAAGATCTTGTTTCCTGAGCTCCTGCTGTCAGAGAGGTCTTAAAAAACACTGCATGGGGTCCGACGCTGTTTTAACTGTCTCTTTAGACAATCACACCAATAACCCCAGAAAGATACTTCACAGCAAACATTCAGTGCCATGTTGTTTGTCCCCCGCGTGATAAGAGGGGCCTTCTGTGCCTTAAGCTCAAGCCTGCCATTGAGCAGATGAATCAATCCAGCTCTTATTTTCCCTTAAAACTAATGTATTCCACAGCGATGCAACACAGTTTATAGGGTAACTCGATCTGCATAATGAATAATCAGCTAATGCAGGGAGGAGTTCCAACCCATCCAGCAGCGCTGCAGAGAGCTGCACATTCCAGCATGATGATTCCCTGCTGACATCACACGACAGCTTCCACATCAAATATTAACTGCATTTTTCAGTGCTACACCTGTTTCTTAAAGCATTAAATGAAGCGTCACTTTTTTTGGAGTGAGACAAATGCTAAATGTGTCTCAAGGGCCAGGGCTGGCGCACAAATTGCCTGTTTTTATTTATACGATCAGCGGCCAAGAGCTAGGATTCGATGCCCATGCCACCATGTTTGAAAAAAAAAAAATCTTCTCCAAGCCGGATATTAGAATGAGATTTTTATTTAAGCCTCCTGAGTTTTTTCTGACAAGAGGCTCCAGTAAACTTGAATGTGTGTCCTATAAAGTTTCTTTGTCAAGATACCAAAGTCAGAGATTTTTATGTGAACATCTAATCAAATCATCCAAAAACCAAACACTGAGCTATGCTGCTATTCAAATGAATTACAGCTCTACACACTTGCTGAATGCCATCACTATATCTTTATTTCTATTTTTAGCCATTCTTTATTTGGTATTTTATAAAAATTGAGATAAGCCCATTAAGTTTTGCTATTACATTGTAAGTTTAACTGTGCTTTTGTATTCAAATGTCCAATACTGTATTCTGAATGCTGGCCAAATAGGTCACGCATCGCACTTTTCCACAAAATATGATTGCTGATGGATGTGATCCAACATGATGGTCAAACATGATGCAGAAAGGTCATCCAAGTATATGAAGTGCATAAAAAGCAACTTTTCTTTCAGCTTGAATTAGTGCTGTCAAACGATTAATCGCATCCAAAATAAAAGTTTTTGTTTAGATAATATGTGTATGTGAACTGTGTATATTTATTATGTACATATAAATACACACATGCATGTATATATTTAAGAAAAAGATGTAATATTTGTATATTAAATGCATTTATATATAATATAAATTATATAAATATATACATGTAAATACATGTAAATATTTTCAAAATATATACTGTATGAGTGTGTATTTATATATACATAATAAATATGCACAGTACACACACACACATATATTATGTAGACAAAAACCTTTATTTTGGATGCGATTAATCGTTTGACAGCACTAGCTTGAATAAAAAATATAATTGCTCACGTCAAGATTTTAAGACACAGGAAATCAAAGTCATTCCACTTTTGCAAAGTTACTTCATGCTAAAGTCATTGACATATCTTCAGATTATGCTACATGTCTAGACTGTCAGCTCTAATCAGAAATATGGATACATTTGTTGTGTTCAGCTCCAGCAGCCATTCTGCACGATCAAGCATGCTTAGTTTGGTCCAGCAGCCCTCTGGATGTAATTCCAAACGCTCTGTTGGTAAAACAAATTCCACAATCATTTACCACTAAATTCTTTGCACACGATGCTCACTAATGAACTTGGATTCGAGACCTATAGTAAACTGAATTATTTCAAGGGTAGAACTGCTTAAGGCAGCACATTGAGAATGAAATACAAAGCGGTCCTGACTCTAACAAGCGTAAAGAAATAGAGCAGCCATATATTCATCTTCACTTGTTACGGCTGTCCAGATCTCCCCGCCCACTACCATCAGGTTATCCACCTCAATCAGAGAAATGCACCGTGCTAATATGTATTTAGAGAACTGTATAGGACACATCCTTGTGCTCCCCTTCATCCCACTAAAGTGTCCTTTGCTGTATTTAGTGTTTTATCTGTGGTAGACTTTTAATTGTCAGATTGTCAGAGCAATGAATCTTGGTGGGATAGAGCACAATTCTGGTCTGGAACACAATGAAAGCTTTGTTCAGTTTTGAAAAGTGTGCTTGACATTTATCTCTCAGCTCGCAACAACAGCATGAAGCCACCGTTTTCTCTGTGCCAGCAGTTAACAGTCATGAAGCCATCAATATCCTGGGACTTGTCAGGCTCCCCTGGTGCATCTGAAGGACAAGATGGATACAGCCATCCATAAAGAAAGTGGGTTAGGAGTCATCTAAAAAGGAAGAAAGATAATGGGGAAAGGAAAGGAAAGGAAAAACAAATAAACTAAAGGAAAAAGTGCTGGAGAGTAAAAAAGGGAAAGAAAAAGGGAAGGGAAGGAAAGCAAAGCAAAAGGAAAAGGAAAGGGCAGGGGAAAAGGGAACAAAAAAAAAGGGGAACAGAGAATGAAAAGGAAAAACTAAAGGGAAATTAAAAGGATAGAAAATTGAAAGGAAGGGAGAAGTTAAAAAGCAAAAGAAAAGAAACTATGGAAATATGGAAAAGAAATAAGGAAAGGAAATTTTAAGGAAGTATGAAATGCAAAGGATATAGCAAAACTAAAGGAAAGAAACAAGAAAAATGGACAGCACCGGAAAGGACAGGACAGGAAAAAGGGTCACTAAACTGTATTATTTGTCATGAAACTAATTTTATGCTGTAGCATCCATTATAGGGCCCTTTGCAGACCCGGTGAAAATGCAACACATACTTGCATTGTTGGAATACATTTTGCATTATGATCTATGGTTGAAATGTAACCCATAAAATCAAGCTTGCATATCTAATTTTTATTATTCGCATACTTTTGTAGAGTAGGTAGCAGGCTTATTTCAGAGATCAGTTAACATACACTCCTGAGTTCACTTCCTGACGCTGTTTTAAAACCAGAAGAATCCCCTGCTAAATCTACATATTTTATAGGACACTCACTGCAGGCTTAACTGGAGCAGAAGTTTTTATTCAAGAGATACATATTTACAGACTGATTAAATAGTTCTCTGTAGTTACATGAGCTTCATTCTCTTACTTGAATCCATCAGCATCCTCTCTTTCCCTCTGCCATCAGAGAGACAGATACATGTTTGTCACGGTCACAAAGGAAGAGTCATATGTGTGCATTATTCGACTGAGAGTCAGGTCAGTTCACAACAATGAATCGCTCATATTTGCATTAAAGTTCTTTATAGACATTCTTCCTAAGAAATAAGCATGCCATGAATCTTCGTAGAGTAAATATAGCAATCCCAGTTGAATGGTGACAGGAAATCAAGGCAAGCGGAGTGCAGCTTGTTAGTCATGCTCAGCACAGCTCAGCGAGCTTGTTAAGGTAAGTGTGAAATGAATTCTTTCCAACAGAAGGAGGTTGCCAATGCCATGCATTATTAATTAGAAAATTAGATAATTGGCCCATACGTGGGCGGGCTTGTCACTTATGGATTTTTCACTTTCAGCAAAATTTCCAACCTCTGTGTATTGTTATGAAAAAGACTATAAGTGGGATAAGAGCATGTGTGTTCCACGTACAAATATTACATGTTTTTCTCAAAATTACAGTCAGGATATTACAGTACATTATAGCCAGGATATAATTAAGATCCAATTATTTCAAATGCTAGCTATACTTGCATTGTTATCACACCATACAGAGTAAATTGCCACATCACATGGTACCTGTCATCAAATAACATATTATAGGCTTTTTGGCAAAATGTAAACAGTAAAACATGTATTAAATTATGAAAAATTAAACGACAAAAATGTAAAAGGTATTCATTCAAAATAATTGGGCCATTTTTTTCTCCAATCATCTCAATGGCCTAATTTACCTGAATGCACCATAACATACAAAAATATTAAACCCATTTTGGCTAGTAGCCTAAATATTATAATCAACTGTATAAATATATTTTAAAATCATTGTCCAAACTTAAAATGCATTTATTTAAAAAAATAAACTACCTTTGTCCTAAAAACACAAAATCAGCTTTTGTTGACTCTTGCCTAAATACATGCTAGTGGTCACTTTTTAACCTGAGAGCTACAGAAAAATTTTATTTTTGGTTGGAGGATAAAATTCACAATCATTATTAACAGGTTTGTATTTGTATGAATCCAACCTACAAAACCACTGCTTTAAAAAAAACAAAAACAAAAACACTGGACTTCTCACTCACCTTACACCTTACTAAAACACTTCCAATAAACCACTATCAAACAGATAACTACTTAATAGTTCCGTTCTGGTTTGTTCTAGCTGTCTTAGGCGTTTTACAGTCAGTATGACATTTCAGAAACAAACATAATAGGTTGAAATGCAGACATAAACAGGACAAACCAGTGCAACTTACCAACGAGCAAGAAGAAAAGCGCGTGTCTCCACGACACTGATGCCATGACGTGTCAATGTCAGTCAAAGCAGCAGAAGTTTGTTGATAGTCGATTCAACGGCTCTACTTTCTCGACACTCGACACATCTGCGCGTTTGACAGGTAATTTTGCAGACAGTTTCATTCAACACTGAATCTCCGCTGACGAGAGAATGCCTCCGTTCCTCTCAGTCACCATGCCATGTGTTTTATAAAGTACTGCTTTAGTACCGAATAAAGCTGAAATGCGCAACTGGAATGGGTCTCGGCTCAGTTGAAGCGTGCTCTCTTAAGTAGTTCTCTCTGAAGTCGCTCGGACAGGCGGGCTGGGCGCTCCATCGCGCGTCAGGCGCAAAACTAAAAGATGTGAGCTGTGCTTGTGGCAACAGTAAACGCGAAGCCACCTCCCTCACGGCTCATCAACTTATGCTGGCTAATAATAAACATGAACATAACTAATTAGAGAAGTGAGGGAACCACTGTAACTTACGCTGTGCTGTTCACAATAGGGAAAAATAAAGGAAAAAACAGGGCTTTATGCTCAATTCCAAATACTACTGTGGAAGTGCACACACTTTTTAAATGTAGCTAATATAATAAATACACAGACCGCTATTATTATCTAATGCCAAAAATGTAAGAAACTTGCCTCGTAACTTCCAATGGACTGACGCCAATTTTCCTGTCCAGATGAAATGTCATGAACAGCCCCAATAAAAGAGAGATTTTGCGCCTTCTGTGGTCACGATCTGATTTACAGGGGAATTGCCAACAATGATTAATTGGACAGAGAAATAAAGCATCAGCAGTTCTTCTAATAAGAATAACTAATAGGTTAATAACTGGGGCTTCGAGTAGTGTTGAATGAATGAACAAAATAAAATAAAATCGGGCAATTGAACTGAATTCCTCCGGTAACATGTGTGCCTTGATTTCATACGAACACGTTTACTTATATCTGCTGTAAGCAATTTATTTGGTACTAATGTTTAAATGATCTATTTATTATTAATGTATTAAAACTGTTGTATACTTTCTATTGGGTCTTTTTTGAGCAAATAAGCAATTGACTTGTAGTTTCATTATGACCAGGAATAAATCAAACACTTTCATTTTTTATGATATTATGATTATATACGAGTAAAATAATATAAGTAAAATAAGCATAAATATGCGGTAAATAAACTGTTTGGTTAGAAATCGCAAGAAACGCGAGTTTTAAGCAGTTATCTGCCATTGTTTCTGATGCTGTCATTTTTTTAATAAATTAATAAATTTGTTGTCAAACGATTTCCTTAAATATAAGGTGAACAAAACGTAGGCTACTTAAAAATATCCTTAAATATGAGGTGAACCACAACAACAACTGAAAAAGTATCTTGTGTGATCTCATCTAATTCGTGAAGTTTGGAGCTTATAGGAGCTAGAGGACTGAAGGTTGACCATGTGTTTGACTCATGAAGAGCTCTGGCTCCACCTGCTGCTCCACTGGAGACTTCAGCCACACTGCCAGGGGAAACATCTCAACAGACATTCTGACAAACTTACAAACAGAATAACCTAGCAAGTATGCTCCTACAAGTAGTCCATGGCAGCTCGAGTCCAGGAAGTGACAGCGACGTTTCTAGGTTCAATCAAGCAAAGAAAGGCATGAGGTTATGACCACAACTTTGTCATTGCATAGTAAGGATTTTTATGCATTTATTTATTTTTGACACAATTACATATTCTTCCTTTGGGAATATTTTAGTACACGTAACTGAAATGAATTCTGAAAATGAAATTCTTTCCTTTTGCACAACTTGGTGTAAGGTTTCTTCTTCCTGATCAAACCCATTACAGTTTATTCCTAAACCTAAAGTACAAGCAAGTGCATAAGGTGTATTGAATTTACTAAAAATTTCTCTTTTACGCTTAAGCCATATGCACATAGGTTTACCCACAAATATTGATTTAATATCAGCAACATGTATTTTAAAATAATCTATTACTTTAAAGCAAGGAATTGAGAGGCAAAAATTATGCCAACAAACTATAAGTAAGCCATTCATTCTTTTTCTATTTTAACAAATTTAGTGGGTAAATGGCAAGCTGTAACATCTAAACAAATTAACAAATTAATAACAATCATAAAAATCTCCATTTCAGTCACATTAAGATTAAATTCAATAGTATCTCTCTCTATATATAAACACACACAGACATACACACTGCATGCACATAAAGCACAGGTCCAATAACAATGTTAACATATCTTTTACTTGTGGAATATCACATTATACAAAATGACAAGACTTACAGTCAGTGTATTTATATAAACAGATCATTGCTGTGACATCTACAGATCATTAATATACTGCATGTAAATAAGCCTACGGTGTGAGACTTGGAGAACAAAATGATTAGCATATCAACGGATTCCAGCTACAACTGCCTTCTGTGATTTAGCACTTCTACTAAAGTCAGAGCAAATCAGAACAGGTAGACCATATAAACAACTGACGAATAATTATTTACAAGATTTGACCTCCAAACATTTCATCCCAGTGATTATACCAATTACGTACTTTTCAGTATACTGAAAAATAGCAGCAAATGCTTGTGGAACTCATCAAAAAGAAGGAAGGGTCCATGAAAAGCCTCTCATTTGCAGTAACCACTGGCACAGACTGCGAGTGATTCTTTTCCTTTCATTGTATCACAGTGAATAACATTTTAGCTTGTTTACATGGTCCAAGTCTTTCGCAGTTTTCATATAGTATGAGCCAGTGGGTGACCGAGGTCTCAGCTGCTCCTAACATCTAACATAACACAGTGACGCACACTTAAGAACTGCACTTACACACTACACAGTACACCCAGTGAAATATTTCAACTAAACACAGTAGATGACAAATTACACTGTAGTAACATGTTATGTTGTAATATGTCCATGTATATTTAAAATCTTATATGAGCTATTAAAATAAGGCAGGTCATAACTACTATGTTTGGATAAAAACAGCACTGATAAAACGTTCAAACAGCAAATCTTGGTTCAGTGACTTCAGTGAGCTACACAATAGTGCTCTAACAACTGTGCAGTTTAGAGTACAGTACTTAAAAGTGTAACAATGAATGCAGCTTCTTCATAAAAACATAGAAAGCAGAGCAACAGAAAGGCAAAACAGATTAAAAAATAGAATTTCTGTAGGAAAAACTACTCCAGTTCTAAAAACAGTCAATAATGCATTGTGATCCACAGGGGTTTCACAAGCTCTTTCACAGTCATCCAATCAGAGAAGATCTGAACAGGAAGTGGACAGCAGGTGGATCAAACATCCCATCACAACACAGGACTGGGTCATTCATGTGCTTCTGCTACACCCAAGGGCTGTATGGAGTCTCTCAAAAGAGGTATAAAAGTTATGAAAGGAATGGTGGTCCCCAAACACTGGACCCTGTGGTTAGCCCTTTGTGCACTTAAACTGAGTTCAATACATTTATTCTTGGTCATCAGCGCTGAGATCTGGGTTTGCGGATGCCAACTGTCAAAAGCCAGCATTCTTGAAGATGAAATTTTAACCCTGTGCGTGCCCAGAGTCCAGTTGTCTGTGCCTGCATTGTCAGGGCGCTGGAATGTAGAAAACTTTTGATGGTCCAGTGACAGGTGCTGGGCATGTGCTCAAGGCTTCGCTCTCAGAGTTCAGTGGTCAGCAGACCTTTGGGCTTGTGGTTGTCGTCCTTGATTGGGTGAGCCACAATACTGTCAAAATCAATTCAGCAATTGGCAGTTACAATCAGAAGCTGAATAAAGAACAAACTTAAATTCAAAGAGAAAAAAACAACAACAACAACAACTCTTCAGTGTTTGAAGTTAAAGCAATTTCTGGTGCACTAAAACCTTAGTTTTGTTTAGGTATGTTTGCAGTTGATATGTCGCATGCAAAAACACACTACTGTTCAAATGTTTGGGGTCAGTATGATTTTTATTTCAGAAAGTACTTTTTAATCACAGCAAGGATGCATTAAATTGAGCTGAAATTACAGTAAATATATTCATAATGTTACAAAAGATATCCATTTTAAATACGGTTCTATTCATCAGAGAATCGACAGCAATAATAAGAAATGTTTCTTGAACACCAAATTTGGAAAGATTATGCGACACTGAAGACTGGAGTAATGGCTGCTGAAAATTCAGCTTTGGAATAAATTACAATTTAAAAATGTATTAAAACAGAAAACAGTTCTTTTAAAAAAGTAACAATATTTCACCGTATTCCTGTTTTTACTGTATTTTCGATCAAATAAAACCTTGGTGAGCATAAGAATGAGAGATCAAAAGATCAAAACATTAAACAAATCTACAAAGCTAGTAGATTTTATTGAATACACTACTTTCGAGTAGCTCTCTGTGGAGAAACACCCACAAAATGGTGAAATTACAGCATGAATCCTCCTGGTTTTTATCATCTACCAAGTTGAAAATTGTAAATCTGATTGCTTAGGAAAGTAGTAGGACAACTGTCCTCAACAGAGCAGAGATGAAACAAACCTTGTGGCAATCACATTGTGAGTGTGAGAGAGATGGGGGAGTGAGGAAATAGCAGCCCCTTCAGGATGGTGAGATGATGACATCTTTGCTGTACAGTCAAGGAGGCCGTTAGTAAAGGTGCAAGACTGCTAGAGGTGAGAGAGGAAGCAGGGGGACAGTCAGAAATGTGAGAAGTGAGGGTAATGAAAATGTACACTCCATTGAACATGTGGCTTGATATAGTGAGTCATCATCATCTGCTGCAATATGAAAGCTTCTTCTAAATCTATAAATCTACAGAGTGCATCTACAGAGCTGCAGAGAAATATGAAGAGGCATCCCTGTGCAAACGCTTAGATAAAGTTGCTGTTCTTCTACAGTGATGCATGGACCTGTGTCCAGAGTCCTCACCAGGAAAACAGCTAAAACTCTACAGTCAGTTGGGAGGTACTGTTAAATCATACTAAATGTATCATATTCAGAGTATGCAATCAATCCATCATCAGATTTCATTTTCATGTAATATCTTCATCAAAATGATTAAAGAGGTCAACTCACTATAGGTGCTGAAGCTGGAATGATCCATCGAGGAGTGATTGTGGGTTTGGGAGCTGGCACCTATGTCAAATCAAAAATTTTAATAGAATATTAATACTTCAACGATGTGAAAACACCTAAAGAGAACAGGCATTATTGCGCCATACAGTCAATTATAGAGTCATACTTTTGCTTACTACAAGCATTACAAGCATATCGTGAGCGGCAGTGCTGAACTTACTACAGGGATGGGGTCTGTGAAGTCTATCAGGTTATCAGTCAGAGGGGCTGTCAGCGGCTCAGGATCCTGAACTTTGACCTGCATTGTAAAAAGCCACATGCTCTAAAGCGTATGCCAACCAAAAGCACATTCAATGACTAGATCGGCATTTCCTGCAGGATGTGTCAATGCCGACAAGACATCACAAAAAGTGATGCTTTTATAATTATTTGAAATCAAAAACCTTTAACAGAGACCGAAAGGGAGAATATTTAACATGGATAAAAATATAAGTAAATAGTAAATGTGGCATTGTGAGGTGAATGCAAAGTGGCCCAAGTCCAAAGAACCCACTCTCAAGT